TGGAAGGTCCGAATATGTTACGTTTGTTTGGCTAATAGTACGTTTGGTAACAGTGGGTCCGTTTTTTGATAAAAAACTAAACTTAAACAAACTCATGTTTGCCCTTGTTTGATACAATACATGCGTCGTCTGCAGGCATTCCGAGTTACTCGCACGAGCGACGAGTTAGTTCAGGTATGTTGAAACTGCGCGCGCATCCGCGTTAACTTCCGTTATAAACAACCATGATGCTAACGTTGCAGCATGCGCTATCAGTATACGTGTAATTTCGATCAGATTTTCGGTAAATTTGACAGTTATACCAGGAATGTTTCATTGTGAATATTAAATATGATACTATAGATGTCGACAGTAACCAAAAATCGGTCTACTTTCGCTTTATTTCTTCGCAATTTGCAATGGTTTAATGATGTTTTATATGATGAAAGTGGAGTACTGTAAATTATTGATAGGTCCGACGGACTTTCTGCATGCTTGGAAATTGCGAAGGTCCTAGTATGAAATCGGCAGGTCCTGGACCTCGGACTTGCCCTATTTTCAGCCCCTGGAGATTTTTTCCATTTAACCGACTATAGTAATCCGTAATGGTTATACACGTACAACCATTTATTTCTCGAATAAAAATCGTGCGCGAACAGTTCTTAAATATTCACTTTTATATACCGAAATAATCTTGTTATATATCCCGTCCTTGTGAAGAGAGTAGATGAACACTTTTGCAAAACTCTCACGGCAGTTATCTTATTTTTTTATTATATATTTATTTTATGATTATTTTAAAGCCTTCATTTGCTTTCAGAAATACATAATCTGGCGATGGAAGAGATTGCCCAGTTGAGACAGGAGCTTGTCCAGCTGAAGAACATGTATAGCTTGTAAGAAACAATAAACTTTTGCTTACTGCCAAGTTGCGTATATACATAGAGCGAATTCATTGTAATAGTAATAAATGCTCAAAGCTTTAAGAATCTTAGCAACGTTAAGGCTATATATTAGCTCCAGTTTGGCATTAGTTACTTAATTTCCTGTGTCTGCTGTGGCTAGTGTAGTGGGTGAAATCTACACAGAGCCTGTCTACTCGACCTTACACAATTGTCAGATAAGTTGTGTATGTGTATGTAATCTTATAGGAAAAGAAGATTCATAGACCTTCACATTTAATGTTCATAGATTCTGACCTATTTTGCAGAAATCAAGATTTGTCCGATGTAGACACAGGCTCACTAAATGTTGGCCAGAAATTACAGGTCAGTCCTTGCATTTCCAACAAGAACACCATTTATTTATGAAGGGTAATTCCTCTTCTGACCCCACCACGCATGTACAAGTTTCACCCACTATCCTCGGGAGAGTTTTCCTGATTTGCTGTTAATTCTCGGCCCTATGATGAGGTTAGCATAAGGAGAGTTTCCTTGTTATGCACACGACAGATCTTAAATATCTATTGCATTAGAAATCTTGCATGCCTATTGAGATCTATTGGCAATATCTGTCTACATATCTATCTATATATCGAACTATCTATCTATATATATATATATTATTTATTTTTTATATATCTACATGCATGCATGGAAGCTCGCACGCAGGCAAGCATGTATGCACGCACGCACGCACGCACAGACCCACAGTTATATACATGTTATTTTTAATGTATAGACATGACCTCTGCATGGCAATTCTAATCTATTTAAACAAAACGCAGTTTAAAATTATTACTCACAATTAAAAATTCAGCTTATGATAAGTATGATGTCGATTGTTTTAGCAACAGGCTGGGCCCAGCTGGAATACAAACGCAATCGTGCGACGGAGCGGTAATTGGCCGGGCAAAGCAGGAAGACAGCAGTCATATTTCCATGTGGAAGCTGCTGACCACAGATCAGAGAGAAGCGTACAGCTGGCTCCACCAAGCTGGAAAGTGCCCGAGCAATTTCCTCAGAACGTCGCTGGCCCAGGCGATTTAGATCCAGCACAGGAGTTAATGGTAGTGTGAACTTCTCTGTAATACATTAGCAAATACACATTGATTTGCTGAGGGTGTGGGATTGAAGCCTGGCAATGGCAACAGAAGCTGTCTGTGTGTGTACATGCGTGGCTGTTTCAGTGTGTTTGCATGTATGTGCTGTGAATGGAATTCTGGGTGAAATCAGTGGTTTCTACTTACTGTGAAAAAACATGCAGTCAAACCAGTCTATAAGGGTCCTTCAAGAGATACTTTACAAATATCTTTTATTGCAAAGTATTCAATCTATAAATGTGTCAGTTACCATATGTTTGAGCGTAGTTACATGAAGAAAATATAATATATTTAGGTATAGTACGTATTTTATGATAAATGTTGATATGGCATATAATTTTGAAATGGTACTATTTTATTTCATTTGATAGTACCAAACGTTTGTAAGTGCTCTGCTTACATGTGAGACACTTGTCAGTTAATCATTAATACATGTCATTTTAATTACCTCCACCAAAGAGGTTATGTTTTTACCCCTGTTCATTTGTTTGTTGGTTTATTTGTCTGTCAACAGGATATCTCAAAAAGTTACGGCCGGATTTTGATGAAATCTTTTGGACGGGTTGGTCTTGGGCCAAGAACCAATCGATTAGATTTTGGTGGTGATCCGGATCCAGATCTGGATCCAGGGATTTTTTGAAGGATTTCTTATCATTGATGGTAGTGTAGCGGTTTACTCTCTAATCACTTCGATTGGTTTCGCTTTTGCTTTCTCTCTTTGTAGGGGTTTATGATGTGTCACCTCCGCGTTAAAGCCGGCTACAAATTAGATCGATAGCTATATATAGATATATGCGCTGTGCATGGTGTCAATGCAGAGTCAAACAACAATAGTCATAGAGAGTAGAAACAACGAGTTCTCAGTAACTGAATGGATGCCTTGTGCCTGGACGTGGACGTCACTGCAAGATGGGGGGGGGGACTACTACGCTGTGGCAGAGGTTTATTATCTCCGATTGCTCTTGTTAGTTGAGAGTTCATAGTTATCTGAATGTAAATGTTAACTCCTTACATCGTGGCTGAAATTATGTTGTTAGGGGCCTCTTGACAATCCTGGTACTGAGCAACCAAAGATAGGGGGCTACCTGGATGATCAGGCAGATGCACAGCGCGTTGCGATTCCTGGACAGTTGGATGCAGTTGGCTATCCAGGAGAGGAAGGAATTGCCCTGCACTTGGATAATAACCATGGTGGTAATGCAAGCAGCTTTCTATTCAAGACAGCTCCTCATTTCGGCAAACTCATGATATCAGCTAACCGTGCCATGCCGGTTGTGCATTGCTTTCCTTTTTTCGCTGAGGTATCTTTTTTACGGTTTCTGCTGCACATATGGTTGTCGTCTCTTGTGGTTTGTCGTCGACTTGCATCTTATTGTTGCCATGTGCTGTCACTTGTTTCCTTTCCCCCGTCTCCTTCTGCGCCCTCCTTTGCCTCATCATCTTCCACCATCTGTTCTTGTGCCTTTCTCTCTCTCGCTCTTTCCCTCTGTCCATCTCCCTCTCTCTTTCTTTTCATCTCTTTTCTCATTCTCTCACACTCACTCTTTCCCTCTCTCAATCTGCTCTATCTTTCTATCTCTTTCTCTCCCTCTTTCTTCCCCTCTTCCTTTTTCTTTGTCTCCACATATAGGTCTTGGCATTGGCAGTTAACTGCTTTTTCTGCTAAGGGAATAAAACTAGCATTGGTCTCCATTTAAACAGATTATGCGGACGACCTCAAATATCAAAACGGCATTGAGGATGCTGGGGTGGATGCTGTGAATAAAATAGGAGAGGAGCCTCTAGCACAGGTAATGTTCTCTGTACAATTACTTTACAATGATAGTCAAACAAGTGTAAACAGTGAACGTAAATGGTTTAGATGCTTTTGTGGGTGGAGAAGCTTGGTGGAAGCCAGGATTTAATTTTTCTGGCCTGCAGCAGCACCTACATTCTGAGAAGAGTCATTTTTAGCTGCAGGGTTTTTGTTATGTGCCACAAGGTAGAGCTATCCTTGAGGGTTGAAAATTTTGCGTGCACACTGTACATTCGCCTATGTGTCAAGTGTGTGTAATATCACTATAACATTCATCAGGTTAATTAACAATAAATTTGTAACGCACAGTTGAATTCGTTTTCTGGCTACAGGTTTATCCTAATGACCTTGATTCAGAGAGAGATGAAGAGGATGATGATAAGGAGGAAGAAGATGGCATAAGATCCATCTAAACATAAAGTCATGTGGCTGTTGTAACTGATGTCGATATTGGTCATAATCCATCATCATGTTGGATTATATCTTGTTAGGAAGAAGTCGTTATCATGATAATGATCATATGCGTTGATTCTACGGCCTACGTAACTTTATTATATGCATTATAGGAAAACATGGACTAAAATTTATATTCGGATTGTCCCACCTTATTATATATTAACTTAATTAGTTCTTGTAGGTGTGTAACATATCCATTTTTATTGGTTAGTTTATACGGATGAAAAAACAGCCAAGATTACAAAGGCGAGGGTCTCAAACTATTATGGACAGTGAATATTCTTTTAAGTTGAATCTCACTTAATTTTAATCATTGTTTTTGGATTCTGTAATGCTGCAGTTCATAATTATTTTTGCCAATTGTTCTTTACCTTTTAACGATCATGTGATTCATATGCCTGCTAATTGAGCCGTTTTGAGTCTACTTGAAAATGCTTTATTTATGAATTTTTTATCACTGATTCAAAGACTGGATTAGATTTTAAAATACTAGTAATTGCCTATGTGGAACCTGTGAAAGTATTTTATTTGTCAGAATAGATTTAATGGCCTTGATATTATTTGTGAATTCATTACACCAATATTTATATATATATATATATATATATATATATATTAATTTGTACCCAATTTCATGTGCCAATCCCCTTTCCATGGTATCATATGCTACCTGTAAGATTTAGCCATAAATTCAATGTGAAATGCTTAAGACTACTCAGTAAATATTTTAATATATATAAAAAGCATTTACATTGTGTGAACAAGAAGAATGTTCAACTTCTTTCACCTGTTAACATAGCAGGTATATATATTGTTCTTAATCTACTTGTCTGATATATATA